CATTGCCTTTAATAATCATAATCATATATATATATAAAAAAAAGGGTATATATATATATATATATATATATATAGCTAATTCGCTAGGTGTCCCTCTGACTGTCTGACCGGTTGCTGTGATGCGCACTGACCACCAGGGGGTAAACGCTCAATGCAGGAGCTGCAGTGACACCCACTGGCCATTTACAAAGAAATGGCACCCTGGATCTGGTGCTGACAAAGCAACACTCGGCTTCCCCTAAGTGGGACACAGGCCCCGCCACCACCCCAGAGGACAGCCCACCAAATTTCAGTCGACGCTGCCGAGGCCCCATGGTGCAAAATGTGGCCCACAGCCCAGCCCAGAAATGGTTGCTGTGGGCACCGGGTGATGACGTTACATAGCAATGCCCAGCTTCCTCTCCTTAGGGACTAGCCTCCTTGGAGTTTCTTCAGCCCAGGAACACGACTTGTTTTATAGCCAGGTGGAAACATTTCACACTTTAACCAAATGTCTGTGAAGCATTTTCCTGTGCCTCATCTCATTTGATCCTCACAGAAGTCCTGGAGTAGGTAGATAGGAGACTTGGTGGAATCCTATTTTCTTTTCATTAGCAGGAAAATGGTGATTTAGAAAATTTAGAAACTTGACCCAACTGAAAAGAAGTAAGAAATGGTGGACCTTGAAAATGACTTCAGGGTTTCTCACTGTGCAGAATATAGTCAAACAGTGCTGCAGTTAAATATTTTACCCTTTGTTCTCCCTGCGTGATCTATAATAATCATCTGCTTCGTGTTGATATTTACTGCTGTGTTGCTGAAAATTATCTGAAAGAGAAGTTGGGGTGCTTCCCTGGGCTGGAAAAAGTTTAGCTAAATCAGAAAGCAGGTCTAATTAAGCAAGTTTATCTATATATATAGAAAGCTTTCGCTGGCGCCAATTGCATGTATGTGTTTCCATCTGTCATTTGTTGATCGTGAATTTGGTTGACACTTCTATTATAGAGAAAGGGCGAATAGCAATAATAAAATATTTCTTCTAATTAATTTCCTTTCAATGCGTATGAATTCATGCACCAGACCTCTAGTAACAACAACAACAACAACAACAACAACAACAACAACAGTAAAATAGCTAGCAGCCATGAGTGCTTACTAAATGTTAAATGGTGTACAAGTATTATCTCCATTTTACAGATGAGGAGACTGAGGCATAGAAAGGCAATTAGTTCACCCAAAATCACACAGCCAGAAAGAAGCAGAGCTGGACTTCACTTTCAGTCAGCCAACATCAAAACCGACAGGTGTGACCACTGAGGAATGCACCAGACAATATTTGTTCTTCTGAACTTAAGGAAGAGCAGAATTTGGAATTATAAAGACAATAATGAAGAAGCTTTACTCACAGTGATCCATTTATAAATGTGTGAAATAACTGAGCTTCTACTGTATAGCAGGTACTGCCAGGCTGTATGCCAAACACTATTTTAAGCCTTGGGAAGGTACAAAGGCATGTGTGTGAGACCTCAAGAAGCTCACAGTCCTTAAGTTAGAAGGCATGAGGCACATTACCATGTACATCCAAGTGAATTTGCATCTCTTGTTTATGCTCTTCTGAGCAGGTGTGAGGCAGGGAGTCTGGCCTGCACAGGGAAGGCCAGGAGTTTGGACAAGGTATGGCGGGGATGTCTCTGCTCCCCGATGTCTGGGATTTCGGTTGCGATGGCTTGAATGCTGAGGCTGCAGTCACCTGGAGATTTGTTCACTCATCCAGCTGGAGCCTAGGTGGGGATGCCTCAGAAGCTGGGCTTAGCAAGTTCTGTTAACCGAGGCCCCTACACATGGTCTCTGTATGTGGCTCAGGCTTGCAGAGAAAGGCAGCTGAATTCCAAAAGGGAACCTCCTGAGAGTGACCATTTCAGGAGAACTAAACAGCAGCTTCAGTGCCTTTTTTTTGACCCAGAGTCAAATCGTACCCAGTTCTACTTCTACCTAATCAATTGGTCCAAACAGTCATCAGCCTGTCCAAACTTAAGGGGAGAGGACATAGATGTCACTCCTCAATTAGTTGTATGCCATGAATATTTATAATTTAAAAGGGGAGCTTCATAACTAAGGGGAATGACTCTTTAACTCTGGACATTTCTTTGCTAGTGTTGGTAGAGAAAGGATTTTGTGTGTGTGTGTCTCCTGTCATACCCATCAACTACTACAATTGTACAATGGGCTTGATGGGTGGAGGCTGGGAAAACATCTCAGGACTTGCATAACTTCCTCAGTCCCCAGTAGGGGGCATGCAGGAGGCATCTGATTAATGATTCTCCTCATTGATGATTCTATCTCTCTCTCCCTCTCCCTTCCTCTCTGAACTCAATAAAAGTATCTATATACATAAAAGCCCAGCAACCATAATGGGAGAATGACCGGAATGACCAGAATGACCAGTTGCTATGATGTACACTGTGGCTGCCAACCAGCCTGATTCGGGCCCCAATCAACACCCCCAACCACCCGTGGCCCCTCTCCCATTGGCCCCCAACACCCCGAATGGGGGCGGGGCTGGCAGGCCAACCTCCTGTGTCCCCTTCTCCCTGCTGCCCTGCCCCGATCGGCCCCCATCGGG